GAACCTTCATCAACTGAGATGGCTGGAACATGTGTTGACCACGCCTAGTCACCACCGACATCGTCGAACAATGTGTCCGCTGAAGTAGATTGGTTTAAATGGGAAGAAAGTTAAGGGCGGTCAGACTAAAACATGGCATCACTGCATGATGTTTTTGACTGTTAATATGAGCCTTTTAGGAGAATTTAGACTGTATGGTCAAGGTCCACGTGATAAAAGAAACCAGTGGTTGGGGACTCTAGGTGATATGGCTCAGGATCGATCTGTGGCGCAGATGTGTTCACACATTATCTTGATCTCAGTCGTCATACTGAATTCATTATTCGCCCATTCTTTCTTGCCTCCTTTGGGATGATATTCTATCACTTTCGACTGCTTTCTTCTCTACTACTTTATCTTTCATCTTAATGCATTCTCGCTTTATGTGCTGATATGAGGTGTGGCAATGTGGACCGTTATGCTGCATGCAGCAATCCTTTGTTCTATGTTGATGATCGTGAACCTACTGTAATTACTCTCAAAGTTGTTAATATTTACAATCATTTAACAGATTCCCTGATTAATAGTTTATTTGTGTAATATCTTTCAAAAAGAGAGAAGAAGGGAGAACATGGTATAGTCCCTCATCGTGGTTGTCTATGGATAGCATCAACTGCCCGTAAACCTGATCCCAAAGAAATTCATCAGGTGGAGGATGAATATTTAAAAGCTGGTAGTCTTATCCCTCCACTGTTTACTAATCTTTCTTTACTCCAACTAACTTATGTTTGTACTGTGCAGAATATTGAATAGTTCAAGCTAAGTTATCGAATACGCATAGGGCGAGCATCTGATTGTCGTGGTCTATTCTGACTTCCATACAATTGAACTACCACGTTTTAAAGCTTACAGTTTCTCACATACTTGTAAGTAAGAATGATATATTTTGTAGTGTTTATGAGGAACTGAAATGAAAAATCTTAAACAAACAATTATCAGCTTTATTACTTTATCTACTTAAAAAAATATTTTACCTAAGGCTTATTTTATAGCTTTTCAGTGACTCCTCACCCAATTTCGTACAATTCATAGTTGCGTAATAAATGTTGAATAAAATACTTGACTACTCATGATTCAGTTATTAAGTGTCGGACAAATAACTCCGATTGCAATACACACATTTTATTCATTTTGGAGGTTTCCGGGCATTTATCCATTGATTTCAGGTTGATATTCATCATGGACTGATATCAGTCGGAGAGCACTGGATAGTTGTTTCGTTCTAGTATGCGACTCTTCAGCAATGCACACCCATGACCCTACCAGGGATTGAGCCCAGGATCTTCAGATTCCGTGGTCAGCACGTTACTATTGATCTACTGCGCCGGAATTCAGTGGTCCATCTGATGTCAGTTCATCATGGATATCAACTTGAAATGAACACAAACATGGTGAGTCGTTAATCTGCCATATTTTTTATCTAGGATGAACTAAGTGATAGTTAAAGGGTTGCTAAGTTGTCTTACTTCCAGCTAATGTGACTTGTACGTGTGGTTAGAGCATAGCAAGTGCAACTATATTTGGATAATGAGGCGTACAGAGAGTCTGAATCACGTGACTCTGGACTAAGGTCATTCATTCTGCAATTATCAGTTCAAGTACATGATAAAAGTCGTATTGTTTGTTTTGGGTAGTAAAACATATTCTTTGAAAAAATTCTTTTTTTGGCTTTTTTGTAGGTGCTAACAAGTCAGATATGCCGACATCATATCCTACTAGTTGTCTTCTCGGTCGAGTAAATATTGTAGATGTAATAACACAGGAAGATATCGCGAAAAAGTAAGGACTTATCTCCCATGGGTATTTCTTCTCCTTATTATAGACTTATTTATTCTAAATATCACCACAGTAAGTAGTCATAGAGTCTTAGGTAAGGGAAGTGATTCGGTTGTGAACTTACGCTGACTAAGGTGGCTTTGATATGAGTTGTGGATGTCCAGCCACACTACCTACCCAGTCTTTTATAGTATTTAAAGTAAGATATTTGGGAACGAAGCTAAGGGTGATCAGATTATAGTGTTGAGCCTAAATATGCCATCTCTGCCCGTTGTTTTGAGCTGTGTAAAAGATGGAGGCTAAATTATTGGGATTCTCGATGTGAGTGGAATCAACTGCTTAAGCCTCCTAGTGTTATAAAGTTCGAAAGCCTGGCAGAATAGTACATGTATATACACTCTCTATCTGCTAGTGGATAACGCTTTGGCGTTTGAAGCAATGGGTACCGGATTCGAGTCTCAGAAGGGAAAAGACACTCATTGGGATGCAGGCACATCCTGCTGACGAGTCCCAAATAGGACGAAACGCACGTCTTGGATTCCACTGCGAGTCACCAAGATGAATACAACATCATGAATATCCGGTAGTATCGAAGCTTCTGCATAGGAGCCCATCCGCCAACGAAGGTTGAGCGATTCAGTCCTGTATAGGCACGGTTAATTACAGTTATCAAACAGCAACTCTCCATCTCCACAATAATACTAAGTGGGAAGTAAATCAGTTTTTATGCATAGGGTAGAGATATCTATTTGGAGTCACAGATTTATTTCAAGTAACTGAAAAGGGTGTCGTTCAGTAAAATATCCTTGGTGCTGTATGTAACTCAGAGTAAATGGTGAAGTCATCTTGTTTCAGGAAGCGTAGATGATCGGCTGACAAAGTTGACAGAAAATGAGATGTTTACTGGCTAGGTGGTTTTCGCTCACTATGGTAATTCACAACGTTGTTTTCGCAATTATATATGTATATATATATATATATATATATAATATATATATATATATATATATATATAAAGCTTCTGTGGGGTAAAACAAAAGACAATGGATATATCTCTCAGTCGTCATAATTTATTTCTTCTTTCCCCTCTCTCACACTTTTGTCGACTTCAGTACTACTGAGGTACGCAAGGTTTTTCATTGATCTTGTTGTATATGACATGACCACTCGAAATATCCACGTTAATTCTTGAGTGGGTACACCCGTTGGATTTAAATCATGGTTCCTCATTTTTCAGAATTGATTAGCAATCATCACATTCGAATAACTTTATGATGCCTCAATGTGTGAATTTAACAGGGTGATGATTATACGGTAACTAACTGCAGTCATCAAGTGAAGCTATATCTGCACCTAATAGACTCTTCTGGTAATGTGTATATCTGTGTGATGAGACATTGGTTGACTGTCTAGTGATTTCAAGCGGTACTACTTTAAGTCAACTACACTAAATGCTGAAAGCTTTATTCTAGGCCCAATGATTTACTGCTCCACATCTATTTTAGTTCTCAGAATTCTTTCTCGTTGAGGCTTTACGATACACATGATTTTCATTCTGTAATTTGTTGTCCTATTTCATATACTCTCCGTCTGCTTAATATATGTCTGCTGTTGGTGCAGTTTTCATATCAATAAGTAGCATGTGCTTTCGGCGGCCTGCTTGAACCTTAGGCTACCAATTGTATCCACCGAACGTTTTTCATCAAATTCTTTCCCTTCGATTTGTTTTAATCACTTCAATATGTCATTTCAACGTATTATGTACTCTTTCATATTTTTCAACTCTCCATTCCTCGAGTCAATAACAAAGCAGAGGAAGAATGTTACGTTATATGGAAGTAGGTTTTTCGGTGCACCAAAACTACATCATATTTCTATCCATCAGGTGCTTAGCTTCAGTTGCAGATTTTTGTACTGTCTGAATGAACCACTAACAAAGTTACGCTTGCATTTCTATTGATTAATGTTATTATTAACACCATGCAGATTAATATTATTATTTGTCCCTTGGGCTACTGGTGGAACATACAGCTTCAGTAGCACATCTCCATTCCCCTCTCTTCTCTGTAGTCTTTACAACCTGGCTGCACGACTGCCCAGAAGCTTTCATTTATTCCTCACATGATGTCCCCATGTCACCCTCGCCTCGGACGCCATACTCGTCGTTCCCCATGCGGCTTCCACTCGAGGTCTTGGCACGTGATGTCCTCGAATGGTTTCTTCAGTGTATGCCCAGTCAAATCCATCTCCACTTTCTTCTGCATATTTGTGGAGCGATAGGTTCTTGGTTGGTTCGCTACCAGCTACGGTGAGTTCCTTGTTGCTTATTCTTATTATTCTGGCAATCCATCTGATCTCCATCTTCAGTACCGAGTGAGCGTAGACGGCAGCTGTTGATGAATGTCTGTAGTTTGTTGGAAATCCCTTTCGTGATGCGTCAAGCCTCTGAACCATCACCTAGAAGCAGTGACTTGACTGACATTGTGGTTGAAAATCCGGATCTTGTTCACGCTTTTTGCTGAGTGCAGTAGATCTCCACACTGGTTTCAGGTTAATGAACGCCTGTCTTGCTGTCTTTCCGATCCTGTGTGCTTTGACGTCCTCGTCTGTGCCGCCGCCACCTGTAGTTGAAACGGTGCTGCCTAGGCTAGGCTAGGCTAGGTAGGTGGAAGAGACTACTTCCTTCAGGTTTCTCCTGTTGATGGTGATTGGTGCCTGTTGTTATTGGTGATGGTGGTGAAGGAGTTAGTTGGGTATCATCATCACCTACCTCTGTCTTCCCTGTGTTCACTTGAAGTCCCGTCTTCGTTGTCTTGCCTCGCCTCGCCTCGTTTCTTCTGTCAACTTGTTAGTTCTCGCCTATAGATCTTCGAGTTTGTGCGACAAGACATTAGACACAAGTCATCGGCGAAATCCAAATCTTCTAGGATCTCTTCCACAGTCCAGCGTATGCTTATCTTCTCGCTCCTCACTGTTTGCTGCATGATCCAGTCCAGTCGACGACAATCAGGAATATCATGGGTGATAGTAGACAACCTTGTCTTACTTCTGTCTTCACTTCAAAGGCATCACTGAGCTTCTCATTATAAATTACTTGGAATAAGGCGGTTATTATCATTATTATTGTTATTATTATTATTATTATGGTTAATATCAAATTCATCATTTTTGTTTTTATCTGTCAGTATCCGAATGGGCCGTCACAAAGTCCCTACGTATTTATCTGTGATGATCCACATGAAACTTTAATCAAATTCCCAGTTAGCGGGAAACACAAAATATGTAAGTTCTCTTATACTGAATGACATATACTCTGTTGCAGATAAACTTGAAAAAACACATACATACTGCAGCTAAGAAGAATCTAGCGTGATTAATTTTGGCTAAGAACAATAAATGAAACAGTCAGTAGCAATGGGATTGTTTTCTTCTTTTGTTTTTTCCACTTTATAGGAGATTGCCTGTGTAGACTCCCTTTTCATCGGCGTACTATTCTGTATAATAATGAAGGGTATTTTGTTTACTAAACTTCACGTCTTTCTTAAACTCACTAATTTCTCTTACAAATAAATACTCTAAAACTTTTGTCGAAATGCTTTATTTGGTTGGTATATTTTTACCTGAGGTGCGTACAGTTACTGTTGGAGCATGTTACAGTATAAACGTCGGACTAATAACCGTTGGGACGCATGTCCATTACGGTAGCCCTGCATCTAATCATATACATATCCGGAATTTATCAAAACGTTTATAAGGACTGATAAGAGAAAGAGTGGTGATTGCCACATGCCTAAGAGGGAAGTCAAATATTTTGTAGTGTTACCGCATAAAGAAAGTACACCAGAAATTTTACGTAGAATGCTTAACAACGCTAGGATTAGGATAGCATTTAAACTTGCTTATAGAGAAACTTTGTAGGCTAAAAAAACAATTAAGAAAAACAACCTAGTCAAGTATATAGGTCAAAGTAGGCGACTTGGATCAGAATAGCAGGACACAATTTAGCGAAACATACAAGGGTAAGTAGTACTAAGTAACTTAGAGAAAATGTCGGCTATCGCTCTGTATGCACTGACCCTAAATCACACTATACAGTGGGAGAGGGTGACAATTCTAACATCCAATACAGCCAGGTGGAGGGAGAGATTGATCACAGAATCGTTGGACATTGGATCCACACTTAACGGGAACGACCCGTCACATATTTCAGATATATAGACATTAGGGGTCCACGGGACAAGAGGAACCAGTGGTTGGAGACCCTAGGTGATATGGCTCAGAACCGAAGCAGGGCGCAGATGTATACACACATTATCCTCATCTAACAACGCTATACCGAATCTCACTATTTTGTCACTCCTCTTTCCTTTCTTTTCATACTTTATATTTCTTTTGACGCATTCACTTATCTTCACCACTCACTACCTTTTACTTGATGTGCTGATATGAGGTGTGGCAAATCGGACGTTACGCAGATGCCTGGTCCTATGTTGATAATGATGATGATGATGATATAGACATTTCACTACCAATAAAATAAATGAATGAACTGTTGAAAGGAAGTTGAAGGTCATATGATCATTTTGATATGCACATCAGCAATAAATTCCGCTTGAAACATCGGTAAACTATACTGTATGCTGTATTAACCAAATAAACAATCTAATATGGAATTATACTGTATCACAGTGCCCAAGTTTTTCCCTTACCCTTGAAGCTACTGTTCAGATACATGGATAGATAATTCAGTTTCACACTTTGGTGAGCTCCAAGTCTATAAGATGAATTGTAGTTAGAAATACTAACTTTGAGTTTCATATGCAGACAAATTAGGTCAGAGTAAGTGATTTACAGCTTTACTTCGATTGCTAATTTTATCGTTGAGTTACTCTTTCTTCCTATCTGCATAATATTCTTTTTTAAGGACAGTAGAGTAGCATTAATTCTGAGTGTGGATGCAAGTCTCTGCCGGATAATGAACCGTGAGGATTCACCAAAGCGGTAAAAGGCACTCATTATTTTAACATCCCAGCAACGGAGCTAACCATAGAACCACTGATATCTGTGATGCTGGAACTCGTTGGTTCTCAACTAATTAACAAAAAGTAAGTACTGCAGATGAATAGCTTGAAACACACACGCTAGGTATTGCATACAGAATTTAGAATCTTCACTACATCTCAATGGTACTTCTTTTTGGTGCAAATACTGTTGTGAAAGTTGTGAAAATATATAGTAAGGAGAAGTAACTATTGAGATGTGCGTTTCTAAAAAGAATGTGCCTAAGTGGTATGTAATGTTATATCTTCAGCAGAATGTACAAGAGAAGACAATTGAATGATGAACACTGTAACAGAATAAACGGCGGAGTTTTTAAGAAAAAAACATTAAGTAAGATTAAGCGGACGAAACTGCAGAGGAACGGAACTCGAAAAACAGGGACGGTCTTTGCATGGATGACATTTATTATGTTATAGTTTGCGTAACAAACAATCCTCCATTGTGTCTTTTGTTGTCCTCAGTTAGTGTAACTTAAATATACTTACCGAGCTGATGGACACCCTAGCGGAAATGTTGGTATTAGAGACATAATTTTAGAATTTAGGGGTGGCGGCAAATGGTAGTGTGAATACTTGGGATGGGAAAGAAACAGTGTGATAGTCTGATAGACAGACAACACTTCCTAAATACGGAGTTAGCACCGGACAGAAATCCGCTGGTGTATATTGGGAATTAGGAATATAGGTAGTGTACGCTAGAATACGCATGCATGACCAGGGATTTTCATGCTTATTTGATACTAAGTCAGTAGTTCTTATAGTGTTGACAGTTTAGACGATAGATAGAACGTGCACTGGAACACACGAATGTTGGATTCTGTTGCTGAAATCTAGGGTAGTAGCTTTAAATTTCCGTGCACTGTCAACATTTGTTTAAAGGTAATAGTTCTAAGTGCTGATTTTTTGACAGTGGGTGCGGTAATTAACACAAAAAATGGAATGACAACCACAAAATATGGATTATTCGATATATATGCGAAAATAACGGTGTATCAGGAGTTGAAGTACTGAATGAAGTTGGTCAGAACGTTTTGGAAGCTATTAACTGAAGAAGAAGAGTTTTTTGGGTACTGTGAGAACTTGGAACACAATATCCCAAAGATTCATCGGAGGAGCATAAAGTTTATAACATGTCGAGTTTCGTATCTCCTGTGAGATCAAGTTGAGAAACAGGTCCAGAAGCTAACCATAAGTAAAGTGACAGAAGCTGATAACCCACATATTTTTCACGAGGTCTTGCAACTTGGCCATCACTTTGTTCTGATGCATGTTATACAAATGTAGAACGCGACAGGGACTATTAAAGGGGTCCGGCGTAAAGAGCTGTACGATTATATGAGTTTCAAATGCTGAGAATATCAAAACTGTGTATTCTGGGAAACAGAGACAAAACTCACTACAGGAAGAAGCTGATCATGATACAGCAATACCACATGGTTATTGAAAGAAATAGGCGGTAGTAACGTAAAACTGGTCACATGTATTGGACTGTATTCTCGTGTTAACGCAAATATTAAAATACTAAAAGAAAAGAGGCACTCCTATGACAAACCGAAAGATGTTAAATATAGTCAAGTATAATGTAGAAAGTAGTTATTCATTTTTTAAAAACACCATTTAATCAGGAGTGATCTCATAGATATTTTGCAAACATTTTACAAACTTTATTCTGACCAGATAATTGATCGGTAATAAAACGAACCCCTCATTTTGTGGCCTGAATGACTTTGTTACACTCTTGTGTTGTTGCTTTATAAATGCGTTAGTTGTAAAACTAAAAGGGGAAACGTATTGCTAGTAAGAGGATGGCGAATAACTAGTCCTGTGTTCAGTTCAGGTGACACGTTAGTGTAGGCAAGTGTGGATGGTCAGACACGTGGATCGTTATGATCGCATGAGCGGCGACATTATTTTGGATTGATCATTTGAAGCGTGTGATACCAACTTAGCAGTTTACCTCCTCTAGAACAAAGATATAGATCTATAGGATGTTTAAAATTTTCGAAAAGAAATAGCACCGATCTTTCCGGATGCTTTCCAATAATTTTCTGGTTAACAACTCACTGCAGTAGAGTTGGGGTCTTCTCCATGGCCCAGCGCTGATAGGTGATCTCGATTATGACTGGTAGACAGAAAAGTCGCCTAACCGCTGCTATCAAGATCATATCTGTTACGAATGTCCCGGAGAATTCCACTCTGACTCGATCAATTCACGAATAGGTTGTAATATAATCTTAGCCTGTTTATAAAAGCGACCGACCTATAGAAGCTACCATGAAGTGCTGGTCGGGCTTGCATATCACAATGACCCAAGGAGCAAAACTGGCTGGAACGCTTGTTCCCCCCGAGTGACCACCAAACCAGAAACGTCATTTGGAAAGTGGTTGCATGAAAAAAAAGTTACCATCATTGTGTAGATTGTTACCCTCTGATGAAGGTTTAAGGGCGAATGATTGGCAGTGTCACGCTGATGCTGCCCTCCCTGTGGGAAGGTGAGATGGTTAGAAAAGGTCGGCCCTAAAATTAGTGCACACCCATCTACCTCGTAGCATACCGATGGCGGCAATATGGCTTCATAGTGGAATTTGGATAAAACAAACTTCTTAGAAGGCTGCATATGAACGACCTCGAGTAGGTTTCCTTCGGGCTCTGTGGTCACCACTACCCTTCCTATTTCAAGTGCCTCAAGAAGAACCAGTCTTCCCTTGTGTGGACAGCGAAGAATTATCAAATCCCCTCATATTCTTTCAGCATTCAACTTGTCTCAGGTCAAATCCACCTTCCGCATCCTTAACTTCTAGTTCTCCTTCATGTCAGTCACTCAACACTTTTAATTCTTCTATAGTTTGTTCAAGCGCTTGACAACGATCTGAGTTCACAGTGCAATATCACTGGTCTCCTGAAACCGCACTTTAAACTCCATATTGGAACTTTGAATGTGTGCAGCCTCCGTCGTATCGACCAACAGGCTTTGCTAGCTAAAACCCTGATATCTCGAGCCATGTATGTGTGTTGTGTTTGTAGGACATTTTTAAAGGACCCAGTTGTAGTTGTTCACGTAACATCAACCAACCAATATGCTGAAATTGCAAAATTAACCCTTGGAGATTTGATGGCTAGTTCTCGCGATCTTGCAGCTATACGTATAGCATTCAGCACTAAGACAAAGAATACAATATTCCACTGTATACCAGTTGAAAGTCAATTGCCCATGTGCTGTTCGACTGGAGGACTCAGTCAAGAGCTAAAAGAAGAGTGAAACTCATCAGTCTCTTTGTATTCTCTCCTTAGGCGCCT